AAAAAAAAACACGACAGTGCTTTAAACACCCTGGCTTGTGTATCAGTAGATTAAGGTGAAATAACTACGGAAACTAGACGTGTCTGAAGGAGGCAATTTCACATATTTGGAATATATACGTTGCTATGATAATTGCATCATTACACTCACATTCTGTGTTTCGCTCAGTTAACTGCTAGCGGAGTGCCGAGTTAAACTTCAGAGTGGCCCAGTAAAAACGAGCCACTTTTCAAAGCTCCCTGCTGCCTTGTTGCAGAGCTGTTCACAACGTTGAGAAGGTGTTCGAATGCAAACAGTGCGGCAAGTCGTTCAAGCGCTCGTCCACGCTCTCGACGCACCTGCTGATCCACTCGGACACGCGGCCCTACCCGTGTCAGTTCTGTGGCAAACGCTTCCACCAGAAGTCAGACATGAAGAAGCACACCTACATCCACACCGGTGAGCAACTTAGGCTAGTGCTTCTTATGCTTTCTTTGCACAGTGTCTAATTGTGCAAGCCATGTTTGTTTCCTTGTCTGCGTGTTAAAAATTCAGAGTTATTAGACGAATTACCATGAAATCTGATATGTATGTTACGCCATTGCAGGCAAGTTCAGTCTTATTTCTGTTTTATTTACTACGATCAATTGCCACTGCTTTTCAACTTTTCTTTAGAATATGCCATTACAAAGATTTTACGCTGGTGGTGTTGATATTTATACAATGGAGCTGGTTTCTTAAAAAATAAGACTACATAACACACTCAGAAGCGCATAACATTCTCCCGCGTGGCGTCTGCATAGTCGTAAACCTGACCACAGAGAGTCATGTAACGTAACAACACAACTACAAGCTACATAAATCACAATGCAGACAAACAAACCAAATACTCGGAAAGTAATTTCTAACAGAAGTAAGAAATTGAATTAAAAATTGTATTTAGATGAAGTATGTACTTCTACATTACTGCCATGCACAGGGGGGTACGCATGATGAAAATGACAGGTTCTAGATCGGGTGATCGGATTTATTGACATTTTACTTATAAGTTCCCTTAATCACTCTTAATTCAGCGGTATCGCTGATTTCACGTTTTCCAGTTCACCATTGCAAACGCACTAGGATTCTCCGTCTTCACTAGTCTTCTCCTGGCAACGGATCTTAACACACAAACTATCACTTCAAATCACAATGAAGTCTTCTTGCCATTTCTTGTTCAATCACCCTGGAACCTTGGAACTCGACTAAAACTCTCTTTAGCAGCAAGCGGACTTGCGTTATATAGCCGCGGCACGGACAACGCAGAAAACACAGTTATACTGCAGACCACACAGAAAATATAATTCACGCTGTAGCTAAGTACTTTGGGGTGTGACATCATGCGTAGGCTGCATGGACATAAAGAAAAGCTTCTGCTGTGTTATGTGACGTCACCGCCTACGCGGAAGTGTGTTTACTGAGCCGTTGCCTAGAAACGGGTTGCATAATTCCGTTGTTCTATTGTTGCATGTGTGTGTTACTTAGCAACGGCTGCTTCTGTGGCTCAACCGTTCTTGCATGGAGCAAATATGCCACATTACGTTATTGGCTCTGCCCGTAAAGCCTCTAGGCTGCAAGCACGATGACCAAGGAACCGGGCTTCGATTCCCGGCAGAGGGGAGAGATTGTTCTTGTCTGGACATCGTCCAGAAAGGCTTTGGGTTTCAGCAAAGTTTCCTATCTAATGTGCAGGGGGATGTCTTTCCCC